GCAATTACAATATATATTTTTGAAAGTATTCTTATTTTACAGCATTTTTTCACACCTGCCTAAAACGTTTGCACAGTACTGTGTATGTTTAACACATCTAATGAGAAGGTGGAGATAGTTAGACTGGTGCTCTCTAGGTATTTGGAACTTCATTCCCTATCCTTCCTGGCCAACATTATCTAAGATGGTCTAAGATTTTCAACTTGACAGAATTGCAAAAGTCCTATTAGATGCTGAAAAGTTCTGAAGGAGCCAATAGGAAAGCACACTTTGCTAACAGACACTCATCCATCCATGCAATATCAATATTTTGGTTGGAATTAATGTTTTATATGCCGCTCTGGTTCTCAACAATAATGCATTTCAGGAACAATGACTGTAAGACATACCTGATGGATGTGATTTTAAAATATTTCTCTTCATGCAATCTTTGGTCCAAAATTTGTTTTGTAGAAAAGTGAGAAAACCATTCATAGCAGACATGACAACCTCTGAACCTTAAATTACCCACAAAAATGTAATGTTTCTTAATCAAATTGTCAAAGCAAAACAGCTTACTTTTTCCCATTGGATTCCTCATGATTTTCCATTCATAATTTATTGGGAAAGGTTTGTTTATGTTGTGCTTAAAAATATTCAGACTGCTGGTACAGTATGCTTTTTAATTGCATTTCAGTATGTAACAGAAATTACAAAAAATAAAAATGCCAAATAAGGTGATAAGTAATATTAATGTCGAATAATTAGCAACAACAAATTGGAATAGTTATATATACAAGGGATCTTAAACAAACAAAAAATAAGCACTTACTTTATATTAATGAGACTTCTCACAATAAAGTCAGTCCATATATAGAAAGTCTAGATATGTCTGCCATCTAGGGTTTCGGATCAGGTGTACTTGTCTAAAATATCAAGAGGACACCAGGTGGCCCAATGCTCCAAATCTTTCATTCAAAGCAGGCTCCTTTGCTTTTCTCTATCAAATAGGTGGGATGAATTTGGAAGCAATAATTATTTTAAACATACCATGGTCTGCTCAATTTCTTCTATAATTTATTATATTTTATAGGAAATCATCTTTTGATTTAGTTCAAGCCTACTTTCATCAAAAAATGTAATATATATTAACAAATGGGTTGGAGTAATACTTTTTTAACTTGCTTTCCCTGTCATTAAGTTGTTATGATTTTTAAACAGTACACGGTAATTGAGGAATATGAACTTGTTCAATTTGCTTAGTATCTAACAATCCAAATTTTTACAGTAAGTAAAAGTATCATAGAAAGTTTAAAGATTTCACCATTCACATTGTAACAACATCTTTAAACATTGTTTCAGGGTTTTGCTTTGTTTTGCAACTGCATTTAAATAAGTTTTCCAAGGACGTTTATTGAAGATCCATTTATTTTTCATGTCTTTACTTTTATTGGAAAAAAAAATAGGTAATGAATTTGGACATCCAGAGTGGTTGGACTTTCCTAGACAAGGCAATAATGAAAGCTACCATTATGCAAGGAGACAGTTTCATTTAGCTGATGATCACCTTCTTCGCTATAGATTCCTAAATGTGTTTGACAGAGATATGAACAAATTGGAAGAAAGGTTCGGCTGGCTTGCATCACCTCCGGTAAAGTATATATAATTTTAAAATGTTATATAATAGTTATCAGCACTTTGCATGTTCAACACTTCAATCAGAATGAAATTACGTTTTTAAAAAGTAAGAAAGGCCTTCATTAGGTATTGCATTGTTTCTTTAAGATAGTTTCAAGCAAATTATTTGTATTGTTTATAAAGTTTTGTATCCAGGAAAACATTTTTCCTCAATTTCACTTATTTGAAAATATTCCTTTAAAAAGCTATCTAGACATAAATCCATTTGCATATTTCAACCCATTTCGTTGGTTATCTATTTTGACAACTTCCTTTGCAGTAAATGCAAATATACTTTCTGACACATTGTTGTATTTTTGATTCTGGTCATCATCAAGAATCTTGTTACCTTTAAAGCTAAACCACTTGCTCACTTGTTCCAGTTACTAAATGTAATGAATATTTAATTCAATTCAAAACTGAACTTAAGTCATTCAAATTAAGGGCACAATGAACTGTGTTAACACCTTCTGTTTGCATACAGTATGTCATGCATAATATGCAGAGAGAAACAAAAAGATCTTCAGATACTCATGGACAGGTTCTCTGTGATTCAAATATTTTATATCAATCTTCAAATCATTTGGAGCTCTAAAAACTATTTCCTTATGTATGTGATGTTGATTTAGACCTTAGTCTTTGTTCTACTTTTGAAACTGTAGGCTCTTATCATAAATCTCATTGAATTGGGTATATTCATTGATGAACAGTCTTACTAAATTTGAGAGTTCTATCCAACTTTGATACATGGTTCTGTGAAGGTCCTCACTGTTATTCTTCTGTTCTTTTAATGTATTTTAAACTATACATTTATTTATTTATATAAATGTATAGTTTTATTTATTTATATATAGGGTCTATGTGTTCTTGTAGGATATAAATAGCTTTATGCTTGTTTTTCCATTTTGTTCCAGCACTATTATTTTCTGAAGTCTTTATCTAGAAATGTTCTTTATTTTATTTTATTTTATTTTATTTTATTTTATTTTATATATAGATATATATGCGTATCAAAATGCTCAGACACATTTGAAAATTACAACTTCCAAAGGAAGGAATTCTGGGTTCTTTCTGTGTCCGCTGAGAAGCATGAGACATATTTATTTACCAAATATATTTTCAGTTTCCCCTTCTGGGGTGAAATCAGTGAAAGTATAACAAGAAATTAAATATTCAAAGTAAGCTGTATTTCAAGATACAAAAAGTAGAATTTTGGACAGCCTTAATGCTTGTCAGACCATCTATTGGCCTAAGCTGTAGAAAACAGTGTATACTTGAAAAAAAAGATTGTCAAGAAAATGACAGACTTTGAATAATTTTCTCTTCAAATGTCATTGTGGCAGTTTCTCCACACCCACACATTCCTTTAACTTCAGTAGCTAAGTGAAATATATAGCTGATGGTTATTCTTCTCTTCTTCTATAGCTTCCATTGTTTTTTTTTCTTTTAAATTGAATACATTAAAATTGAATTATATAATGTTTCTTAGCAATGGTTTGCTATATTCTTACTATTTTTTTTTCCATCTCCATCACAAGCATTCTATTCTAATAAGTGGTAAAGATTTCCTGATTCTATGATGTTTGACTTCAAAAGATTAGCATATAATGTATTATTATATATAATAAATATAATACAAATAATATAATGTATTATTTCTTGCAGGCCTATGTGAGTGAAACACATGAATCAAACAAAGTTATTGCTTATGAGAGAGCAAATCTCCTATTTATATTTAATTTTCATCCATCCCAAAGCTATACAGATTACCGAGTAGGTGTAGAAACACCAGGAAAATATCCTTTTCTCTGTATCTCATTATATTCAGCTTCATATATAACAGTGAATAATAATTTAACACTGTGGAAAAGAGAATGAGGTTCACATCATCCTCCACTGTTTTTACTTACATACAGGTAGGTCTCGATTAGTGCTGATAATGAGTCCCACAAAATGGTCAGATTATTCAAATGCACACTATTCAAAGTGATATTTCTATGGAAAATTAGGGTAATTGGTTCCAGTTCAATGGAAATAGGCAAGGAAATTTTTAAAACATTATTTCTTTATATGTTTATTAAGGAAATATAATGGTAAATGATTAAAAGAATATACTTACAACTTAAATATCATTCCTAAAGGTAAGCTTACACTGACAAAATACATCTTTATTGTCTTTCAAAATATTTATTTATTAGATATAGATATAGATATAGATATTGATACTGTATATATCTCAAGTGAACAAAGGACAAGCTCAAGGATAAACCCATATCCAAAGCATACCTATTGTCTCCTGTATTCTGATGTAATTCTTCAAAATGAGCCTCTTCTTTTCTGAGCTTTCCTCAAACGGAACCTTCCTTTTCTCCATTTTGCACATGTGGCAATTAATGTCTAAAACCCCAACAGCAACTGCACATACGCTAGGCTCAACTGCGCATGTGCTAGCCTCACATTAAGTAAAATTTGGCCCTCATTAAACACAACCTGACATATATAATTTGCATTAAATTAAATATCGCACTATTTGAATTCACATTAATTGCAACCTACCTGTAGCTATTAGGAAGTTATATCAAACAAAGGCTTCCTGTTTATCATTAACCATGATTATTTTTCTTAGTAGGCTAGGAATCAGGATAAGGTGTATTTATAATGTAGTTATCGATATCAGTTGAGTATTTATGGCATATTTTATTTTGGCTTATATCAATAAAACAAGGATTAATCTAAGTACATTTTTATGTTTTTCCAATATAATGACAAATCAAATTTACTGACAAACAGAATACAATTATTCATTTTTTCCCCTTTTGGTCTGTTGGAATCCAACATCATAAGATTGCATTTACTATAACTAGTTTAATATCCTATATAACTGTTTGTGCTAAGTGTAGTTTAATTTATTTCATCATAGTTGAAAATATGCAACATTCTTGATATATTTAAGGGTTTGGGTTTTTTTCAATGTGTTTAAACTAGTCTTTATATTTCATAACTTTATACGAATTATTTGGGAAATAGGCTTAATTCTCAATCCATTTTTTCATGTTATATAAGAGTTCAGAAATTTCCTCAGAATGTTTTTGTCCATAACTACTGTGAATGGATATTATAAATAATTTTTGGTGAGCGTTTTCTGTTTCTTTATTTTTGTTCTGCTTTGTTCCTTAAGTTGCAGAACTCAATGTACAAAGTTGTGGGGGGTTTTGTTTGTTTGTTTTTTGGTCACTATAAAATCTTCATCCACATATTGTCCACATATTCTACAAGTTTTACCTTATGTTTAGAGTAAGGTTATGCATCACTTGGGATTTAAAGGCAAAAAGGTGTTTCAGAAAGCACAAAGGCACAACAGTAGCATCTGTCATCAATTCCTTAAATCTGTCTTAAATTCCTTCTTTTTCTGGCAACACACACAACTGCACAGCTTTGGGGGAAAAATGCATTTGTTTAAGGAGCTGCAGACAGGTGTTATATTCATATCTTTCTGTTCTCTAAAGCAACTTTTTGCCTTTGAAGCCAAAGCACTGAACTATATCAGTTTACACTATATTTTAGTCAAATCTGAACCTTCTTCTGGACATTTCCTACTCCATCTATCATTGTACAGAGGTTCTTCTTTTAGCCCTCTACTCTTCCTGTATGATAAAGATATTTAATCAATCAACAGAGATTTGATTCTCTTCTATAACATTTCTGTTGCTACTTTTCTGCCCCACAGGTAAGGGTACATAGTCTGTAGTCTTACCACCACTTCTGTTCCCAGATGTACAGTATTGTTTGAACCAACACAATCCATTCATTTGTATATGGCAAATACAAAAATATAGTGTATGCTCTAAAGTAGGGTTTTTTTCTTCTTTTTTGTAGTTTCCTCTTTCCGCTCAAGAAATCTCATGTGTGACATAGTCTATGCTCATTTTTTTTTTTAGATTTTTTAGCCCACCTTTATTTTTTTTTTTTATAAATAACTCAAGATGGCAAACATACCTAATACTCCTTCCTCCTGCTATTTTCCTCACAACAACAACAACCCTGTGAGGTGAGTTAGGCTGAGAGAGAGTGACTGGCCCAAAGTCACCCAGCCAACTTTCGTGCCTCAGGGGAGACTAGAACTGACAGTCTCCTGCTTTCTAGCCTGGTGCCTTAACCGCTAGGCCAAACTGGCTCAATTTGCATCATATGCCCCAGTATGTTAGCTATCTATCTGTCCATCCATCTATCTGCCTACCTACCTACCTACCTAACTTGTGGCCACCAAAGTTTCCTCACCTTTGTCTTAGGCAGTGCATCACAAATGTCAGATAGCAATTTTTTTCTTATTTCTTATACCATTATATTGGGGTTCTTCCTGTTTCTGGTTTTGTCTCACTCAAACTTTATACAACAGCTGCTCTGTTAGAATTCAGTGAGCAGAATCTTCTCATACCAATACTTTTGACTACTCATGAATATTCCATTCTGACATATTTGCTCCTTAACAAAAGACTCTAGTTGTGCACCATTGCTTGGCTTTAGCCAAGTTACCAAGCATGCATATGTCTCTTTTAAAACAGGTTACTCCTCTTTAAAATTTTAATGCTTCTCTGAATTATGCACACACAGGATGGATGGATGGATGGATGGATGGATGGATGGATGGATGGATGGATAGATAGATAGATAGATAGATAGATAGATAGATAGATAGATAGATAATATTAAAGGAAAAGAGAGAATTGATATTGATTCTTGGTGTCTACATGGTTAAATTTGTGCAGTTTTCTTGGCTATTTTGCCACTGTTTTCTTCCAGGAGACCAACAGTTAGATAGACAGGCTAATTCAGTCTAGGCTCTGAATTTCTTTGTAGTCTTCTATCCAAATACCAACCAGATCCAGCTCTGCCTACCTTCTGGGCCCAGAGAAGTTTAGTCAGGTACTCCTACTGATTTGCTGCTGCTTGTTTCCTTCATAGATTACATTACAGCAAATTAAACAAAATCCCATCATTGTTGGGTTTGTAACTTCCAGGCAAGCTCTACCAACCAAAACAAAAAACTGCACTTAAATGAACTGTAAAAGTTCCATATGAATACACAGGAACATGAACAGAGGGCACATGTATACACACCTCCCAAAGCTCAGCAAACCAACTTAGTGCTGGTAGTATTTGCATTTGCACCATACCCAGTCTCAACAGCATTAGTAGCATGTATGAATATTGCTTGCACAGACACATATATTATATACACATATTTCTAGTCGTAGTCAATTTCAGTAGAGCCTGTCCTCTCTGTTACGTTACAACAGAGTCTACAATAGCTTTTCAGCCTGGAGACAGGCACTTAAGCAACTGCCGTATTGTCCCAGCATTCCATCCACATCACCAAATTTAATTGAGCCAGTAGCAGCTTCACATGATTAGGTTTCTGCTGCTGAACTGGCTAAGCTGGAAAATTAGGAAAAGCAAACTGTTACAAGTCCAAAATAAAAGTCTAATCTTGTACTCAGAAAAGCCCAGAATTATTAAAATACCCACAATAAAAATAGCAACGCTGTTCCATATCCCTATAGAATAAGGGTAGTTTTGTTTTATGTTTCAAACAGTCTCTGAATATATGAATTTTGGTTTGTACATTGGAACAGCTGTTTCAAGCTTGGAATATTTCAAGCTCAGAATAACTTCAGGCCTATGCTTACTGGCTTTAACATGAAGAGGATCCTTATTTTCATATATAACTACTTTATACAATTGTATTGTGTTATGGAAGTAGTAGTTCTATAATTTCTAAGTTACAATGAATGTAAACATTCTAGGAAGCAACTAGATAGCAGGAGTACCCAAAGGCTGAGTAAAGTCAAGATAAACAAGTTGGATAGTTGTTGGTGGAACTATAGCCCAAACTTAGTGATATCACCTACTGCAAATATAAAGGTTTACACAATTGTTAAATTAAATTGTTAAATTAAAGTGCTTTGGAATTTGCCTTGACAAATCAACAACAAAAGTACAGTATGATTTTATGCAGTTTATATGGATCAACCCTTAGTGTTTAAATTGGTTCATAATTCAGAAGAGTCTACTCAGTGAAATGTGTAAATATGTTATTTGTTGAATTGCCATTCTAGGTAGGCACTTTTTTTTAATCCTAATGTGCGTAAAGATGCAATATGCTTAGTTTTGCATATTATATATATGACATGAAACAGTTTGATAGCTTGAGCAAAGATATACTAATGCAGATTCATACAAGAAGAGGTTTATTTTTATTTATTTCTTAAACTGATAATGCACTTATCCAGGAGCTCAGGGTTACATACATAACAATATATTTTGCAATTTGTTCCTCAGCAGCAACCCTGCCAGGTAAGTTGTATTGAGAAAGAGAGACTGTTCCAAGCAAAATTCCATGGCTACACTTTTCATTTCAGAACTCCCTTTACAAAAACTTTCCTAGCAAATTCATTAATAAATGTGCTGAGAAATGATGAAGGAACAATGGAAAGGATATTGTCATTGCTCTCTTTTTTATTATTTTCATAATATATTTTTCTTCTTAAAATTAGCCAATCTAGAAACATTTTCACTTGTTCCATAAATAACAACATTAAAGATTGCAGATTTTTGGTAACAATGATAATATGTTTTAATATAAGGATCCCAATAGATCGTTTGTCTAATGTGCGGTCCAAGATACTGATCCCTCTCTATTTTTATACAGTTGATATTCAAATAATATATATGTTATGTCTTCTGTCTCTGGAGCTCTGCAAATACAAGTATGTTCATTATAAGAGACTTAGTTAAA